TCTCTCTCTCTCTCTCTCTCTCTTACTCTCTCTGCCACCATTACACCCTTCCTTCTATTATATACCCCCCCCTCGCTTTGTTCTACATTATTCAACAAAGTCCACTCACTGTTGTTACTGCGGTGTCGACTCAATGGCCCTGTATATCCCCTCTCAGCCCTTAACCCCCATCATCACCCCTCCCCTTTCAACAACCCCATTAATCCCCCCCCTCCCCGCCTCATCCTGCTCACCAGTTCTTAGCATCCACCAGTGGCCGAAAGATGACCGGAACTGCCTGTCATGGCCCGCGAGGTGACAAAAGAGAGCGTGGCATGCAGGCAGCAGATATTCGGAGACGTCTCTGGCGAAAACCCATAGGAACTATTCGGAGACGTACTCCCGCACACAGATGCATTGCTTTGGGGGGTCAAAATGCGTATCGTTTGCTGAAGATCACGCATGTAGCCACTTCAACTGTCGCAAATCAATTATTTTCAAGAAATTTCAAAGCTAACTGCAAAATATCAAATTATGGGTTTAAACAGGGGGGGGGGGGGCATGCCCCTATGTAACCCCCCAGATATTATACTTGGTCTAGAGGCACAAAGCATTTTGATTGGTCTATATCCCGTCGGAGACGTCTCCGAATAGATGCTGCGTGACATGCACACATACGGTTGCCTTGTTGACTCGCGCCTGTGTAGTTCAGTGTGTGCTCATACGCTGACACAGAAACTCAAGCACACATGGCGACCTCAGAATTACATAGTTCCATCTGACATTTTCGGACGTTTTGAGTAACTAAGACCATGAGGTCAGAAATCAAAATGTTTTTTTCTTCTCTATCAAAATTGTAAGACTTCATGAAGAGGGGCGAAGAAGCACTCCCGTCTTCCTAAGATCCCAGTTCTAACATTCAATACCCCTTCAATTCAATACTCGTATCACCTAAGATCGTGGGTGGTTGGCGGGTGCTCTAATGTGGTTTGCTCCTTCTTTCCTATCAAACATCTATCGTCCTTATCTCTCCTCCTTCTTTTTTCTGTTCGTTACTCTCTTGTAACGCCTCTAATCTTTGGCACTTATATGACCTTATTGTGTTGCCAGTGCCATAAAACTCTTACTAAAACTAAAACTAAATCAGCTAAGATCATTCTTTCTTTCTCGCTGATCACTGTTTTAAATATTATATTTTTTTCAGGTTACACTCAGCAATACCGCCAAATGAACGCACTGCTCAGAAACATTCCCGCGTCCCAGTTTAGCATTGTGGGATTCCCCAGTAACCAATTCGGACATCAGGAACCGGGAGACAACGCCACAGAGATACTTAACGGTTTACGCTACGTTCGACCAGGGGGAGGGTTCGAACCCCACCCGGACATGCACATGATGCTTAAGTGTGATGTGAACGGACCAGATGAGATTCCTCTCTACGCGTACCTCAAGGTGGGCATTTATTTGTTTGTTTGTTTGTTTCTTTCTTTCTTTGTTGGTTTGTTTGTCTCTTTCTATCTTAAAGTTTATTTTAATA